CACTGATGAAAAAAACCCCAAAAACCTTCAAAAAAGCAGCCGACGGAGGAATCCTGATGCCTAGAAGCGAATTGATTACCTTTCTTTATCTTCAGAACAAGATGACAGCGTCGCTCAATTAAATTTAGGTAAATATTTACAACTAGCTGCATAAGGGAGCAATTGAGTTATTGGATAAAATTTATAAAAAATAAAAAAATTACAATTATTAATATGCTTGTTCTACATAATCTCTATTCTTATTGATATTTGAAAAGTTGTAATTATGAAAAAATCATTTTTATGTTTTTCATATATATTTTTTTTTTAGAAGCGAATTGATTACCTTTCTTTATCTTCAGAACAAGATGACAGCGTCGCTCAATTAAATTTAGGTAAATATTTACAACTAGCTGCATAAGGGAGCAATTGAGTTATTGGATAAAATTTATAAAAAATAAAAAAATTACAATTATTAATATGCTTGTTCTACATAATCTCTATTCTTATTGATATTTGAAAAGTTGTAATTATGAAAAAATCATTTTTATGTTTTTCATATATATTTTTTTTTTGATTATTATTTTCATGTACAGTCAACCCTTGTTTCAACGAATTTTTGTTTTGTCCCCTTTTTTTATTAATTAAAGGTTTTTGTTTCAACGAATTTTATACATAAATTGTATTGCAACGACAACAAATTTTTTTGGAATACAAGACAACAAATTCACGTGACAATAAATTGACATGTAAATAAAATTAAATCATACGATAAAAATTAAATCATACGATAAAATTAAATCATACGATATTTAAATTATAAAAATAATATTTAAATTATTGCGATTTCGTGATTCGTTCAAAAATGCAATAAAAAAATTATTTGCCTTACTGCCAAATTTAGATATAATAGTCAATATTAGTCTAAATTTAGCAATGATCATGGCGCTCAAATTCCTCGCGAGCATAGTAAAGTACATGTTTTAAAAAAGAATAGGACTCTACAACAAATTATTTTTTTGAAAAAATCTCTATTACATTAAAATTAAAGACATATTCTATCAACTAATAGAGCTATTTTTTTAAAAGTTAGGACAGAAAATGACTTCTATACTTTTAAAATTTGCCCAAAATCTAGGAGATCTTATAAAAACTACCGTATACTTTTTTGCATTAGCTTTTTACTGCCATTACTTTCGCCAGGGACTGTATCTAACATGTGGAAATTCAGCATGTTATTTTTTTATTAGGACAATCATAGTTGCATCGTATAAAGAATAAAGATGGCTGCAACTTAATTACGGCAAGAGATAATTCTAGTGATTGAGAAAGGCTATTTTCTGTTACTAAAAATTTTGATCCAATCAATTTGAATGTTCATGAGATTATCAGAGACAAGACTTTTTTACGTGCCATTCATTTATAAATTTTATCTATAAAAAGGAATTTGCAGTTTCACGAAACGGTTGCGTTGTATAATAAAGTCTCTACTGATTATAATGTGATCATGCCGAGAAGGGAAGAGAGAATTCAACATGGCGTGTTGATGTTGAGTTGAAGAGATGTTGAAAAAATCAGTCATTTATTAAACTAGAGGTTGGAATTGACTAAAATAGTTGACTAAACTTTTTTTTGAACAACTAATAGTCGACTATCTTAGTCGACTAAATAGTCAACTATTTTGATCGATTATTTAGTCGACTACTAATGCTATTAATACTAATATTAATATTAATACTAATACTATGCTAATATTATTATTGTCTGACTAATTACGATTTTTGTGTTTTATCATTCAAAATGGAAAATTTTTATGCGGAAGAATAACAATACCATCAATATGATGATGACGACAATATTAGTGTGTTGTTGATAATTTTTCATGTGAATGAATAAACACTTCCAATACAAGGTCCAATAGTTCATTAGCTTCAAGTTTAAATGATTTAAGCGGTAGTTCCAGAAGACCTTAAAAAAAACGAATCATAACAAATGATTTTGTGTGGAAGTATTTTGAAAAAGTGAAGATTCAAATGGAAATTCATAATTTGCAAATTAAAAAAAAATTTTAGTCAACTAAAATAATCGACTAAATAATCGACTAAAATAGTCAACTAAAATAATCAACTAATAGTCGACTAAAGAAATTTTTGACCAACTAGTAGTCTACTAAGGATTTTTTGGACGATTCCAACCTTTATATTAAACTTTGATTTTTGGGGAAGGAACTTTCTATTTTCGAGAGATGTTAAATTGCATTTATTTTTCAAGGTCGTATAACTTTCTACTTCCAGAGATATCTGATAGCCTTCCATTTTTTTTTTCCTTGTTGGTATTTCAATTTATATTTGATTTTCTCTGCTATCTTCTTCCGTGCTGTGTTGAGACCATCCAGCATGGAAGATAAGAAAAAATCTCTACTTTTTGTCGCCGTGAAAAGACAAATGCATGTCATTGATAAAATCCGTTATATTTGATCAATTAATAGTTCCTTTTGTTTTTCTTATTTGTAGATTAAATATAATAACAAACTTATCAGTTAAACTTTATCAACTAAATTTATTATTATGGATGCTATGTTTCGATGATAAAGATGTACTCATTTCTATTTATTTATTTATTAATGCTCCAAATAATAAATACATTCGTGTATTAATATAAAGTTAATGTTGATTTGAATTTAGATGTATGAAACGATTTCTCTGGAAAGTCCAGATAAGAGAAGTTTCACATTTATTCATTTCCGTAATCCTGGAAGCTGTTAGTTTAGGTTATAACGAATTCCGATTATGTGATTCTGTTGGAGAATAGGTGCTTGTTTCTATTTATTTATTTATGCATAAATGTATCAACATAAAGTTAATTTGACTTTAGATGATTTTTCTAGAAAGTCCAGATAAGAGAAGTTTCACATTCATATGTTTTCAAGGTCTTGTAAATATAGAATAGAAGAAATTAAACCAAAATACCATCTTAATTGCCATCGGGGAAACGACAAGGAAAAGGAGTCGTTTTCATTAAAACCAAAAACAAAACGGTTTAAAGGAAATAAAAAAGAATCTCTAAAATAATAGATCATAAATTGAATTTAGCATTAATGACTGAATTTTTGGAAAAATTGACAATAAATTAATATTAATGCAAATTCAGCATGGGATATTTTTCCTATAACATATATAACCCAAAATAAATAACAATCCATTGAATTATCTTACCTCTTCATCTCCATGATTAACTATTTCTGCATTGACATATTTAAGGCTTCTTTATACAAATTCTCCACGTCGATAGTAACAAAATTAGTTTTTGATAAAGTTCCAAGTGTTTTGTGCTAACAATGATAAAGAACCTGAGTATTATTTTTATTGTTTGTTCAAGGAATGCTTTGATATGTTGAAGAATATCAAAATAAAATCTGTATCTTTCTATAACAAGTGGGTTATATATATATTTCACCGCAAAATCGATAATAATACGCATACTTCATGATTCTGTATTATGACCTGACAACAATATACGTTCCACGATAATAAACAATAATTACATCCTAAAAGGCAATTCAGATGTAATTCTTTGTGGCAAAATATTACCAACCATTTGGACATATAATTATCGACTATGACAATTGAGATTAGTAATACATCTGATTTTTTAAATTTACATATACAGTATATGAAAATGCAGACAAGGAAAGTGAAGAAATTCTTCTTCCTTGTAGTGCACATGTGGCAATTAACCCTGCTCTTAATGAAGACCTTGTCAAAATCACCGAGAGAATTTATTAATTGTTAATTGGCGTTTTGAATTTCTCGCTCGTCGTCCAACTAATTCTCCTATATCTCCTATATAAATAAATTATTGGTTAGATTTCTAAATTTGAATTTGAATTTTATGTGTTAGTATGATGTTTTCAACAGACTAGGCTTGCACAATCCCGTAGAATTATCAATGTCAAGATAAATATTATCAAAGTATGTGGTGCTGTTGAGCGTATCAATCCATTACACATCTCAAGTGTGACTGCATCACAAAGCCCCGGGATCCATCCTCATCCGAAAACTGTCGTCGCTATTTCTGGTACCTTCCCATTTATGATAGGCATTCAAAATACTTTCAATATCGCAAATATGTGGTGCTGGTGGAAGATTCCTAGTCATTCATTATACGATGTTTCTATAATATATGTCTTGACGTCTTTAACTAAACAATTTAGATGCTTCCTTGTGGAGATAGACTAGCATTAGTATATATAACCTCGCACATGGTTTTTTGAATAGTTACTTGAAAATAAAAAATAATTTTGATCTTGTTGCAATGACCATTGTGACTAGCTAAAGTTAGATTGGGAATTAGGTTATTATTAATAATTGGAAACTCCAAAGGTGTAAGATGTTGCTTGCAGAATTCTAACTTTTAATACTTGATTTATATAAGAATGACATTATCCATAAACATAAACATTACTGTGGTTTGTAAAGTCATATATCTATAACATGAGTCACAATCACAGGTCAAAAAAGTAATAGCGATTTTATCACCTTTTGTAATTGAATGGTGTCAGTCAGCATATGTTATTGATTGCGTTTCTGGATTTTAGCTGACCGGCGCCATCATTCAGTGACGGAACAGCTTTATTTTTATTTAAACTGAATTATCCTTTTTCAACCTGTGGATTATACCTATTTTCTGAAATTACGTGCATAAAATAAAAAATAATTCTTTGAAACAAGTTTGTATTAATGACAAGTTTTTTCGTCGATTAGTATTTTGTTATTATTATATAATTCATTCTTGGGTACTGATTTTGATAATAAAATGAGTCCTAAATAAGAAACTACTGTTATACAAATATACTTGTAAATATACTGTATTTAGTTATGATGAATTTTAATATTAAAAAAATAATAAATAATAAATAATGATAAAATAGGTGTCACACCACGTCATTAAACATCGGGAAATTACGATTGGAAAAAATTTTTTTTCTTTTTTCCTTTGTAAAAAAAAATTAATTTAAAAAAATGTCTTATAAAACAAGAAAAAACCATTTGTCGACACAAATCCCAACTCCTGTATCAAGTCAACTTGAGAATAATAACGTTAGTATTGATATTATAAAATCTAAAAATCTCTTAGAAATGGTTCATTAATTAAAATTTTTTATGCGCTAGATTTATCAAAGAAGACCTGATAAAAGAAACAATAATAACTCTATTAGACCAAAAAATACCAAACCAAATGATACTGTTTATTCATTAAAACCATCACCAGCTTTGACTGTTAGAGAGGGCACCTCTATTGTCGAAGCATCACAACTTATGGCTGCAAAACGTGCTGATTGTGTTTTGGTGATTGATGACGAAGAAGCTTTATCGGGAATATTTACTGCCAAGGATTTGGCTTTCAGAGTGGTAGGCGATGGCTTAAACCCAAGAACAACAGTTGTAAGGCAAATCATGACAAAAGATCCAATGTGTGTCAGAGATAACACATCAGCTAATAATGCTCTCAGTACAATGGTTACACGAAGCTTTAGACATCTTGTATGTGTCCATTATTTTACGTTATTATCATTACTATCTTGTAGCGTTAACTAATTATTATATATAAAACTCCATTTAGCCTGTGTGTAACGAAGAGGGCGATGTAGTAGGACTTTTAGATATCACAAAATGTTTGTATGAAGCTTTAGAAAAATTAGAGCATGCTTATGGATCTTCTAAAAAACTTTACGATGCTCTTGAAAATGTTGAAAGAGAATGGTCTAATCAATCAACCTCGGTTTTGCAATATATGTCAATTTTAAAAGAGAAAATGTCATGTCCTGATCTGGCCACCGTGCTGGATGGCTCTTCACCCGTACAAGTCGGGACTAGAAATTCTGTTAGAGATGCAGCTAGATTAATGAGAGAATATAGGACAACTGCCGTTTTGGTAATGGATCGTAATATGATTGCAGGTATTTTTACAAGTAAAGATATTGTCCTGAGGGTAATAGCTGCAGGTTTAGATCCTTCTACATGTAGCATTGCTAGGGTAATGACTCCTCATCCTGATATTGCTTCTCCACATACTAGTATCTTGGATGCGTTAAAAAAGATGTATGGTGCGTAATAATTACTTTAAGATATTTATAATTGTATTGTAATTTTAGTATTATTAATATTTAAATGCATTTTATCATTATTATTTAGATGGTCATTATTTGAATTTACCGGTGGTTGAAAATGGCATGATTTTAGGGATGGTTGATGTATTAAAATTAACTTATGTTATAATGGAACAGGTAGTTTTAAATTAATGATTGTTAAAATAATAAATAATAATATGTATTTATTGGTTTATTTTTGACTATTGTTTAATTATTAGATGTATTTAATGCAAAATCAAGAAAGAGGTCCTGAACCAGGTGGTCCATTGTGGAATAATTCTTGGAATTCATCTGCAAACGATGGTGATAACGAGTCATTCGTTTCAGATTCAATAACACCATCACAAAGTGCCTCTAATATTCCTCCCCAATCACCACCTCATATGATTGGATCAGGTTATGTTACTCCAATTTCAGAGATTCATCCTGATGAATCAGCATCAGTAATCGATGATGGCTCTGCATTATCTTTCCCTCGTTGTCATGAAGAAAACTTCTTTACTTTCAAATTCAAAGCTCCAAATGGTAAGTCGCATCGGTTTACTGTCGATTACACAAGCTTTGAAAATATTTTTTCAACTGTGACATCCAAGCTTCCATCGACCATCAAGGATTTCAGCATTTCTTATATGGATGAAGACAATGATTGTGTTACAATTTCTTCAGATGATGATGTTTTTGATGCTGTTCGTATAGCACAACAACAAGGTCAAAGTAAGGTTGTTTTATATGTTCAAGAAAACAACCATAAAAGATCACAATCTCGACTAATCAATGCTGATGATGATGATGATGATGATGATGGTTATTTCAAGGACTTAAATAAACCAATTTCAGCCAATTTATTAATACCTAGCGCAGTGCTTTTTGTTACAGTAGTAGTTTTGGGCGTATTCATGATATCAAAACCTTCTAGATAAATTTAATTGTGATAATATTACATTTAAAGGTTAAAGATGGTTTTAATTTTTCATCACCATATATTTCTAGCGTAAAAACTTGGCGGCTTGGGAGAGAGGATTTAATTTTTGGATGGCTCAAAAAGCTTTTTTTTAAAAAATAGAAAAAATAGAAGGTTCTTTTAAAATATTAATTTAATTTTCTGTAAAAAAACTTTTTTTTATTCTTTATTTATTTTAATAATGTAATTATTTTATTGTTTTTATTGTTAAATTATATTTTTATTTTTAAAAAAAATATTGTCTTCCATAAATTATTGCATCTGATAAAGCTACTGATGCAAGTAAAATCGGTAATGGTCTTTTAGATGTTATTGCTTTACGTATATTAAAAAATGTAAAAGATAAAGACCATGCTAAAATCATTAAAATCATATTCATTAAATGAAAATTTAGAAAATCTAAAAAAAATAAACATAAATAATATTCATCATAATTATTGTAAAAAACAAGCCTGTTGTAGTTCCTGGTCCATTTTCAATATCACCCATATATGTCATATATCTTTAAAATCACTTTTATTAACAAAAATTTTTTACCAAGAAAATTCAATATATAAATAATTGAAACTTACCCCGCACCAGCAAAAATCAAACCAAATGCACTACATTGAAACACTGATGGCATTCCTAATGTGCTTTTGGCTGCTACTGGTATTGAGCTTAAACCTTTCAAAAGTTTGAAAAATGTAAAAAAAAAATTTTAATTTTTTTTATGTAACTCTTACATATATAAAAAAAGTTAGTAGCAGTAGATACATAATCCGGACATTATCCATGCTGGATAAGGTGATTTGCCCAATTTTTCTATAATCGATTCATTTTCTGGGATGATGGTAGTTTGTGCTTTAATGCCATCGTCGGCGGCAGACATTTTAGATTTTGATAAATTTTGAAGATGATAAATGTGTGTGTCACATCACCAAAGAAATTTGAATGTGAATTTCTTGATTGGCCAACTTAATTTTAACATAAATTGCGAGTCATCATCACCTATAGGTTCCACCACTACCAATTTATAACAGGCGTTCAGCGTGGATCGTCATCTTCGACAAAAGAAACAAAAGAGAAGGAATCATCACCCCCTTCAGGAGCAGATTAATTAGGATTTGTGTAGTTTGTAAATATCGAACCTTTTTTTATCGAAATGATTGTTCAAAATATGATTTTATAATTTACAAGGTCAATTTACATGTCCAACATTAGCAAATGTATTCTCACTTTCGATAAAAGATATAAAGAGATATAATTTTTGACTCTGAAATGCAAAAAAAAAATATAGTTTTTTAAGGCGCGTAGAAAAAAGAACACTATTTTTTTTTCAATTAATTTTAGACGAGCTAGGCATTCATATTTAATTTATCAAAAGTATTATTTGGTATATTTCTGGAGAAGGTATGTTTTTATATTAATTAATACCTTACTTTTTTTATAAAACAGCCTAAGCACCATATAATTGAAATCAAAACGCGTAGTGAAATTTGTCAAAATTATTCAAAGGTTCTTCTCTGAAAAGCTCCAAGTTTTGCAATATGCAAAATAACTGGTTTAAGATCAGTCGAGCATCTTAATTTTTGATGTGGTGTTTGTATTTATTTTTCTATTTTTTGGTTTTTTTTTTTGTTGCAAATTCATACTTATATTCTAGGCAATACGGTATGTATTTTTCTTAAAATAAATAAACATTACTTGTCTTTTTTAATCCTTTCCTTGAATGTAAATGAATACCTTGCTCCACTATTGTATCATATCTATTATTACAATGTTCATGGTGTTTATGTAATATATTATTCATAATATTAAGACCATGCAGATAAGGGACGTGATATGACGTGATTATTGGTTTGACAGTGCGGCTCCCCCACATCAGTCATTTAAAGTCACACAGAGTTGTTTAAATAAAATAATTTTTAGTTCGTGTCACATTGGTTTAAACCAGAGTCCCTTCCCTAATAAATTACGTCATATTTACACGTCCCAAATAAATAAATATATAGTTCTATTTCAAAAAAAAATTTTTTTCCTTCCCAACTGTATACAATTAAAAGTTATAGAGTTCTTTAAAATCATTTCCAAAGCTCAAAATGAAATAAAATGGATAAGTCTACAGGTGTCAGATTTAATAAACTTTTCCTTCCGCGAACATGCAAGTAGGTGCTCTTCATTCTGTAGAATTTTCCACAGATCGAAGGCTCCCACATATTAGGAGGCTTCTGGAAAGTGAGAGGCTTTGACGATAATGCAATTTCAACACGCTTCAGGGCCGCGCCCCTCCCCTGAAATTTAAATGTATCATCATATCGTCGGGGAAACAAGTCAGATTAGCCTTATGTACACAATTTTGTTGACCAAAACACGTTAAAATGGCGAACTTTATACTCCAGAAATATGGTAATGATTTTATTATATATTTTAAAAATTAATAAGATAAAAAACCACCAGAGCAATTGCATGGGAAGACATTAATGAGTATTAACTATTCTTTTGTCAATATATTCTGTATTTCACCATTATTATTAATAATCAAATAATAGTATATATAATCATCTTCGACAAAAAAAATTTTTATAATAATAAACGTTGCTCTTGAACATTACACGTTTTTTGGATGATCATGTAATCTTTGCTGTAAGGATTTTTTCTTTGTCTGTGCTAGATTATATGTAAAGACAGATACTTTTACAAATTGATATACAAGTGTTAGTTTTACAAAGAGAAGAAAAACGAAGCGAATTGATTGGCTCAATTACATGAAAAATAAAATATATCTCAAACGATTTGCCCAATTACAAGGTTATATAGATCAGAAGAACAACTTGGAGATTTTAAATCCTGGGATTCTATTTGTAAAATCAATTATCATATCACCAATGTCTTATATATTATTATATTTATTTTTTCTTATTTATCTTAAAACTTATGTAAAATACGTTTTTTTAAAAAAAATTCTTAAAATTATACATAATAACAATCTTAAATAATAAATTTTTTGGCGAAAATGAGCCATATATACATATACCTTATATACATAAATCTTTTTTTTTTTGAATGAAAAGAAATCCATAATTTTGACTAGTCAAAAAACATATTAATATATATCCAATATTATATATAATATACGCCCAAACCATAAAAACATTACTCTTCTCAACGAAAAAAAAATTAAATTTTGTGCAGAAATATTTTTTAAAAAAGAATGAAAAAAATTGTTCAAAATGTTCGTTTTTTTTTATAAATAAATATTTTTTCGTGTTAAAAGATGATTGAAAGAATGGGAATTTGATAAAATCATCGTCTTTTTTCGTGTTAGTAATCTTCGCTCATTGGTTTGATAAATTAATCGATTAGAGGTCTATTACCGGCTTGAACATACGTGTCTAATAACATTATCAATAAAATTGGTAAGAGCATTATGACGATGAAACATCCTATTATTCTTTATATATATAATAAATACAAATATTATATATTATTATTAATAATTTGTAAAGTTATTATTATATTAATTTATATTTGTTACAAAAAATATTTACTAACTTTAATCGATTAATTACAGGTGACAATGACGAGCATGTGGATGATAAGGTGGATGATGAAGATGGCGATGAGGATGAGGATGATGAGGATGATGGTGTGGATGATTGGATTTCATTATTATTGTTGTAAATCATGTCATTATTGTTTAATTCAGCAAATGTTTCATATAATTCTTGAAGTTCTTCCTCTTTGTAACGTAATTCTTTTTCTTGTTCCTCTGTAACTTTTTTTATTTTCTCGATAGCAGATCGAATCACTTCGTTCTATTACAATTATTTGAAAAAGTGAATTATTATTATTGTTGCTTGATTTTACTTTTTGTATTAGTTGGTTGGCGCATAATGAAAACTCTAGACGAAGTTTTACTTGAAAAACCGGTCATTCTGCTTTATGATACACTGATACAGAAATATTAATTGGTTACCTTTTTCATTAAAGCTTCTGCATCATCACCTGCTGCTTCCAAGTCTTCGTCTTCATCCAATGATAATAAAGGAGCTTTTTCGTCATTATTATTATCACTGGTGCATTGATTATGACGATGATGATAGGAGGATGCGTATGATTTTGAAGATCCAGTGTTACTAAAGAATTCGAAATTTTAAAAGTTAGAAAATTAAAAAAAAATCAAAAAAACTAAAAAATTAAAAAAAAAAAGACTTATTTACTTTATATAATCTTCGAATTCATCTTGAATTTCAGATTGGTATTCTATTAATTTTTCTAGAAGCTAAAGATAAATAAAATTCTCAGTAATCTAAATAAAAGATTAAGATAATATATAATATTAAAATTAAAAAAAAAAAACCTTTTCAGCAGGATAAGGTTGATCATTAGTGATGAATTCGATAACATGTAATTCATTCATATCGTTAATAAGCATTCCAGAATTATTTTTGTTGAAAGAAGGAGAATTCATAGAATTTGTCATTAATTTTTTTAAAAAATATTTATATTTTTATATTCAATGTGTGTAGCGCGTATTATTATTACTAGAAATAATACGAAAAATCATAATACAACAATCAATAAATGAAATTTTCGGGGATTTGTATACTGTGTATATTTATATATTTTTTCTAAATGGTAAATTATAATAAAATAATTTTTAGAATATTTATAATATAAGAAAGAAAAGAAAAACGAACAAAAATTTTTTTGGTTTTTTGAAAAATTTTTTTTTGGAAAATATAAAAAAAAAATGAAAAGAAGAAGGATAGAGAGGAAGTTGAATTAAAGGTCTTTCGTCAACTATTTAAATATGTTTTTAAGAAAGATTAGATGATTAATGGACTATGTAGACAATTATTGTGTATAATAATGTGTGGATAATAATGATGGTAGAAGATAGATGAAAAAATTGAATTCGTTAAAAAAACAATGGACTAAACGCGACAAGAATATAAAAACAAAATAAAAACACAAATTTGTACGAGGTCAAGAAAAAGAGTAACGGATAATGAGAAGAATTTAACAATAAAAAAAAAAAATCCAAAAAAAAGGGAATAGTAGAAGTGGAAGAGTGAGGAAGAGGAAGATGAGAAAAGAATTTGTATTACAAATGCAACGCCTCCTGTTTGCGTCTGCACTTTGAGAAAAAAAAAATTTTTTTTTAAATAAAAATAAAATATCAATTGTGCGAGAAAGTTCAAAGTTGGTAAACGAAAAAAAAATTTTTTTAATTCGATAACGGTATTTTTTGAAATATAATTAAATGATCGAACACTAATAAATAAATAATTAATTTAATTATACGGTATCAACATCGCATCATCATCATCTATAAATGTAAAGTTAACAATTATATAAATTTACATCTATTTTTGGAATTATTCTCGTCGTTTCTTTCTCTTGATTAATTTTTTAATCGTGTATTCTTACCCGATTTGATAAGTTTTATAATAGGCTACGCATATTTAAAAGGGTCTATTGAATAAATCCATTGTTTGTAAATTCTTACACGTGGTTCTGTTAACAAATTATTATAGTTAAAGTTAGAAACTACATAAACGCATTAAAAAAAAACAATATAAAAAATTTCTGATATTCTTTCCTTTCAATAAATTCAATGCATCATCCAATCAAATATTTGTCGGTATATTTGATCATGTGACTGACCAAGAACGGTATTAAAATTTTGTATAAATACCACCCACTCAACAACATTAATAAACCGTCTTCATCAACATATTAATCAATCAATTAATTTTTTTTATGTGTGGAAAATTCTACCGTATCAGGTAGAAATCATCACTGCAATAATAATAGTAATATTATTATTATTATGTAAAGATAATTTTCTTAGAAGAAAAAAAATAAATTTAAAAAGTTAACACTATCAATAAATTAATATATTCCAATATCTTTCTCTTTACTTTACCTTTAACACTTCCATTTAACAACTAAATAATAAAACACCTAAAAAACAACGATTATATATTTCGGTCGTCGTCATTATTATTCACACATAATATAATATTCATTCATCCATATTTATTCATCCATCCATATTCATTCATATTCATTATATATAATAAAAAAATTTTTCTGAACAATAGAAAAATAACAAAAAATAATAATGAATGAACCCACAAAAAATAAAAAGAGTAAATTGAAAAAAAATTATAAAAATTTTAAAAAACAATTTATAAAAATTACCTCCACCGACAATAAGAAGAAGGATAAGGATAGCATTACTCCATCATCGACATTACCAGTAGCAGCAGCAGCAGCAGCAGATAATGATGATGATGATGATATTTTTACCAAAATTATCAAGGTTTGAATTTGTGGCTAAATATTATTATTATTTGCTTGAGAAAAAAAATTTTTTTCCTAACAATATACTCTCTCAACAATATATAAAATTTTTTAGGTTCCACAAATAGATTACAGCAGGATTATTGAAGAAGAAGAAGAAGAGGCAATAATCGAAGAAATCATTATATTTATTAACCAATTGAGGAAAACATTATTAGAAAATAGTAATAATACTTATAGTTACAATGATAATGATATTTATTACCTAGCTAATAAGATTTCATTAGTTTATTCAAACATATTTCAATTGGAATCCTCAAAATTAAATATTTTAAAACAATTATTAGTACAACAACAACAAGGTTATACATCATCGTCAATAACAACGACCATTATAAAAGTTAAAAATATTTTTTTACCTTTACAAGAATTCTATAATAAAGAATTTATCAATTATTATTTAGAATTATCTAGGATTGTGATTGCTAAATTATTCAATCATTATGGCAATGACGACGACGATGATGATCAAGATTTTATTATTATCAATTTGTTGGTTGATATTATAGAAAAAGAAGAAGAGAAGGATGCAGAAATTAAAGATTACCTCAACACCATCATTAACATCAACAGCATTATCAATGGTGATGATAATATCAATAAATCTATTAAATACAAATTTGTTAAAAATGCTATTTATCAAACAGTTAATCAAAGATTTAAATTTCATCTTGATAAACAAAAGAATGATCCAACCTCGCTATTGAATGAGCTGAATTTTATTTTCGATGATTTAAAAATTATTAAAAAAAAAATTTATCCAAAATTTCCAAAAAATTTTGGTATTTTGGAACATTTTATTTATGTTTATAACAAAAATATCTATAACTATATACATGATATAGTCTACGATGACGACAATAGTCTAAATAATAATAGCTTAAGTCTAAATAATCGCTTATTTAATAACAGTTTAAATAACAACAGAAATCTAATTGACAACAGAGATCTAATTAACAACAGAACAAATCTAATTGACAACAGAAACCTAATTGACAACAGGGACAACAGAAATAATTTTGAATATTTAAACCCAAGCGATGACCTAAGCGTTAGTTTAATTAAAACTATTTTAATCTTCTTGAATGATTATTATTTTTTCTTTAGTAATAATTTAGAAGAATTTCAAATATTTAAGAAATGTTACAATTCAAAAAGTTATGAGAATTCGATCATTGAACATACTATAGATGTTTATATATCTATAGTGGACAAGAAATTAACCGAGTGGTTAAAGGGTTTTATCGAGCTTGAAATAAAAGATTTTAATGAACGTGATAATAATAACAATAGTAATAATACAAAACCCAATAATAAATTAGGATTAAATAATACAAACATCTTAATAAGGATAATGAAACAGTTGAATATTAATGATTCGGTAGTTAATAAACTGAATAACACCAAATTATTAATGAATTTGTTATCATCAATTAATAGATTTCTAATAAAGATAGAAGACAATTATTTGGATTTAATCACCAAAGAATATGATAAACATAAAAATAATTTAGAGATAAATGATGGATTTATAGAATATATTATAGCAATATTGAATGATAGAATATCAATTAAGAATAACTTCACTAATGAAATAAATTATTACAATATCTTCAATGATAATAATAATTTTATCGATAAAACCATAGGAATATTAATAAATATAATATTTCATGATATCAACAAAATCTTTGCTAAGTTACACACTAAATTATGGTATCAGAGTGACTTGATGGCCATTATCACTGCTACACTCAAGGATTATGTAGACGATTGTAATTTATATATGGAGAAGGAGATCTTTAATAGATTTATTTTAAAACTTTTAGATTTATTTATTAGAAAGTATTTAAGATCCTTTAATAATAAAAAATCAAAATATAGTCAGGAGAAGAAGAAGGAAGAAAAGAAGAAAAATTCAATGGAAATTATCAACAAAAATATTTTTATTGCAATAGATTTCTTTAATAATTATACTTGCAATTATCAGTTAATTGAGCAAAAATTTGAAATTATTTATAGAGTTAGAGATTTTATATTTACAAACAGCGGCACGATTTCCGCCGACTATAATAATTTAATGAAATCAATTTACAATAGCAACAATTATAATATTATTTATTGTAAAATAATAGATAATGAATATTTGGAAAGTATTTTATCAAAAAGAAAAGATTTAAAATTAAATGTAATTAAATTGAACAATTTAATTAAACAAATCAAGCAAGAAAAAAATCAAAACATCATCCAAGTTTATGATTTGGATGATGATTTGGATGACGATGATGATGGTGGTGGTGATGATGAAGATGTTTCAATAATGAACAAAATAGAAAAAAAATTGTTTGATAAATTAAAAAATAAAAAAATAAAATTCTAATAAAGATCTGATATATAGTAAATATCACACGTGCATCATTTCAATTATCCCGAAAATTGAATTATCACAAAATTACGTAATTTTTTCAGTGATAAAAAATATTATTAATTAAAATATTTTTTTATTTTTATTTCTTCTCTTCAAAAAAAAAAATTTTTTTATTAATATTAATAATTTTTATATATCTTTTATTATATATTTACATATATAGACATCTATTAAAGCCAATATTATATATATATAATATAATCCAATTAATTAATTAAACACTATTATTATTTATATAATCACATACAAATTATATTTATCCATATCTATACTTTTACCATATAATTATTTTTTTTTAAAAAAAGTAAAAATAAAATAAAATAAAATAAAATGGAAGAGCCAATTATTGAAAAAAAGCATATTACAGTTAAACTTCGTTTTTCAACAGGTGACATTATGGATTATAATTTTGATCTTAGTCAACTAACCGTACTACAATTCAAAGAAAGGCTTGCCATTCCAACAACTATACCTGCTAATAAAATGAGATTAGTTTACTCAGGAAGAGTATTAAAAGATGAAGACTTGGTAGAAAGTTACGGTAGGTGAATCACAAACATTAATTCTTTTAATTCTTTTATAACAAATAATCGATAAAATATCTTATACATGTGTACAACTCTTTCTTTTCTTTTTTAAATATAAAAAATTTAAATATATAGGTGTCAAAGAAGGACATACAATACATGTTGTTCGAAGTGCTGCTAATCGTGCTGCTGAACAAGCTGCAAATTCTTCAACGAACAACAATTCTAGGAATCCCAATAACAATCCATCAATAAATCCATTTACTTTGAATCTTTTGGGTTTGGGCGGAAGCTTTGACCAAGATGTAATGAGAAATATGATGAATTCTCCAATGATTAGAGTATATATATCATTATTATTATTATTATTAATAATGATGATTAATATAATATAATTATAATTGTATTCTTTTCTATAATTTTCGTTTATTTATTTGATTATTATCTTCTTTTTTTTTTAAACTCTTTTTAAGCATTTACTTTCTAATCCTGAAATAGTAAGATCTATGGTCATGCAAAATCCAGCAATGAGACAAATGATTGAAAGAAATCCTGAAATTGGTCACATCATTGTAATATGCTATTGTTATTATGTTTTCAATATTTTCATATATTAGCCAAATTATTAATTAATTGTTTAATTTGACTTTTTTTTTTTTCAAGAATGATCCATCTTTTATTCGTCAGGTTATATTTTATTCAAATTCATCAAATTGTTGCTATATATTTGTTTTAACCAACCAAGAAAATATGTAATATATGCTAATTTATTATCTTAAATTTATTGTTTTTTTTAGACAATGGATATGGCAAGAAATCCTGAATTAATGAGGGAAATGATGAGAAATAATGGTACTTAAAACACATTTAATTTTTCACACCTACAAAATTTATTCTTTTTTTAAAAAATTTTTAATTACTTTTTAGATCGAGCTTTAGCAAACCTTGAAACTATACCTGGAGGTTTTAATCACCTACGGAGAATGTATCACACACTACAAGAACCACTTGAATCTGCTGGTCGAAATGTATGCTTTTTATTTTATTTTTTTATTTGTGTTGTTATAAATTAAAATCAAATTAAATTAAAATCAAATTAAATTAAATAAAAAGAATGAACAATTATCAGAGGCAGCTAATCAACGTCTTGCCCAAATTTTAAATGTTGAAAAACCACCAGGTTTGTATATATATATATATATATAAGTTATTATTGCTATCATTATTACTGCTATTATTGTCATTAATCTCGTATAAATGCTGGTTTATTTATTCATAGAGGGCCGTATAAATACCACGCCATTACCAAATCCATGGGCTCCAAGGAATAACAATAATCTTGGAAGTTTAGGCGGGATAACATCATCAGGAAATGTAACAAATCCTTTTGGTGGTAAATATTTCACTAATAAATATTATTCACACATGAAAATTTTAAATGTCTATATTTATTTATTTAAAATTTTTTTTATGTTTTATCTGTTTATAGGAATACCATCCTTTAGTTTAATGGGATTTCCGCCTAATCAAGCAGTAATTATTTTTTTATCAATTATTTTTGCAGATGTTTTCATTCTCTATTTATTCATTACAAATTAATATATAATTTATATACACATATATAGCCCTTTCAATCTTTATCTACCAATACTAATAACAGATTACCAAATAGTAATTCGCAATTAAATAACGGATCATCGGCACCAACTAATAATACATCATCACAACCTTCTTCCACGAACGGTCTTCCACAGAATTTCCCTAGCGTTAGATTTTCATCACATCCACGGAGTTTACCAACATCTTCTAATCCTGATTTTATTAGGTTTCAACAAATAATGCAACGTTATATAGCTCCAACATCATCACAACCACCATCATCACAACCACCATCATCATCATCGCCATCATCATCGCCATCATCATCACAATATCCAACAACTCGACAACCAGGTCCGCAAACTTTTTTTCATCAATTTGGATCACATTCACCTTTTTTCACAAACAATGTTTCTCCACCACCAGCACTCAGGAGGTAAATAAAATTAAAAATTAAATTCTTTTTCAAAAAAAATAAAATAAAATAAAATTAAGTATGTTCTTTAATTTGTTATCATAAAGAAGCTTTCAAACAACATCAACAACACCTACTACATCAACGGCTACATCAACGCCTACATCAACCACGTCATCATCACCATCAACGGTAGCAACATCGACCACGTCAACAACGCCACAACCTATCAATCAATCATCCGAACCTCCTGAGGCTCGTTTCCGAGAACAACTTCGAAATTTAAAAGATATGGGATTTATGGATCAAGCTGCAAATATTCGTGCATTACTTGCTGCTGGTGGTGATGTTAATTCTGCAGTAGATTTACTTTTACAAAATTCAAATTTATAATATTTAATTTTAAAATTTTACTTTTTAAAAAAAATATTGAGAGAGAAGAGAAGGTAAAAGACACATATAAATATATAAATATATATAAATATAAATTAAAAATAAAATTTTTTTTTTATTTCTTTAATAGATTTATTTTTATTTCATAAAAATTGTCTTTCTCCTCTTTTTTATTTTATTCAGTTAACTATCATTATTTATAAAGAAAATTTAAAATCAAAAAAATATAATTTTTGCTTCAAATCACTATCAATAAGTTTTATTTTGCTACTTTTTTCATCTTTCATATATATTATAAAAAAAATTTTTGTTTGATTTTTTATTTAATTCAATGGCAAATATTTCTGTAGTTGAGTCAAAAAAAATTTTTTAAATCAAAAATCATTAAATTTCTCAAGATGATGGATATTTTATTTTATTTATTTATTTTATACATATATTTTTTTATTTTTCTATTTTTTTTTATTTTCAATATTAATATTAATATACTACAGTATATATTTCATTGAATATCCTTTTTTTCATATAAAGTGTTGTGTTACCAATTACATATTAAAAAAACGTGCATATTTGCTTGACATATGGGGTCTGGACAATAGAAAAGATTTGCATTCCAAGTACTATTGTTTTTTAAACTTTAATGGAAGGTATCTCTACGTAATGAGTTACATATAGCAATGATAAGCGCGGACATTCTTTGTTGTCACATAAATGTTACATCAATTATTTATATTGTTTAAAGTATATATACTTGAATCAGTCACATGAATAGGTACTAATTAATCGTTATTATAACTTTACTGTCAAAAGATCTCAGAATGATTTATAGTCCTTCAAATCTTATACTATATTCATTACTGAAGGCATGAAATATCTGTAATTAACATTTGTTCCACTTGTCAAATAGAAAGAAGTATCATTTTAGAAAGATCATTGAAACTGCTATATTAAAAGCTGAGAAGGATGTCATTATAACACATACATTCTAAATGTTATAAATGGTATGATAAAGTGACACAAAATGTCAGGAATCAAAGCACAACAAGATGATTTAAAACATATAAGTCACTGGAAATATTGAAACTGATTATAATAATTCTTTATAAAACGAAATAACAGAATTAAAAAAAAAGAAAAAGAAATTATTACAATGTATTCAATAAATAAAGTGACAGGTAAAGGGATTTAGAATATAAATAAGGCTCTGAACAAATCGAGCCAAATTTTAAAGTGATTTGATTTGGTTTGATTCATGACTTGATTCTAATCAAACCAAATTCCTAAATTTCTTTAATGTTATATTAATAGGGTTCTATTTGAATGATTTGTTTTATTTTTTATGAATTTGACTATTCGAAATACATTGAATGTTTATATAAAATGAATAATAAAATGAATGAACCAATCTCAGAACAATCCAAGCTGAGTTTATGCTTAGCTTGAGTTTGGCTTGACTTGAATATATGAGTTCAAGCCAACTTGAAATTTAATATTATTATGATTTAAATGTTCTAAAATTCAAGCACATTATACAATTTATTATAAATAGTTTATTATTGCTTCAATTATTTTCAATGGCCTGCAAAATCGTGATTTTATAAAAAAATAATATTACATTTAAATCATCATAAAATAATTTTATGACAGACTAAAAAATTCCAAAAATTCCAAATGAGAACAATTCTGTTTTAATATTTGTTTCTAATAAAAATTTTTTTAGGTTCTGAACATATATATATGCATAAGAAAATTGCATTTAAAATTCATTATACCAAAATTACTAATCATGTTTCAATAAATTTTATGTTTTTAAAAATTCATAGTAATGCAATTTAATTTAATTTATTCATTTATTTGCTTTTTTTTTCAAATTTTTTTGAATTATTCATTCATTTATTTGCTTTGAGCAGACTCGAGTTAAAGCTTGAATTTTCAAGTTTGAGCTGAGTTCAAGAAAATAGACTCTTAAATTGTTTTTTGGGTAATGTGTATAAATAAAATAAAAAGTATTAGAATTAATTATTTGTTACTTAAAAAAAATTTATGTAATGTCAAATTTGTTTGGTCAATAAATTTTAGAGACACAAAAAAATTTTTAATAGCATTACATTAACAAATGTAAGAGTAGAACGAATTTTTCAAAACAAAGAATTAAATACAAAGGTTTTTTCATTGTAAAAATAGGCATTATATAAATATTATTTTTATAGAAATGCAAGCTTTTAATTTGATTATTATCTTATAATTGAAAGATTTTATATATGTCTATTTATTAGAGTAATAAATATTTGGCAATTAAATATTATGGCAATTATCAATTTGTTCACATTGATGTTATAAAGGTAATAGAAACAAATGAAAAAACTATAATTTCTTCATGTAATTATTAATCAAAATAAAATGTTAAATAATTATTTATTAATTATAATTGAACCTGAAAGTGTCAATGGCAGTTTATAGTGGTAAACCGAGTAATTTAATAAAAGTTGTTGGTCTGTTATATTTGTCTTTTATTAAAAGGATACAGGTTTCTAACATCTGACATGAAGAGTGGTCAATAAAAAAATAAATCAAAATATCAAGGGCATGAGTATAAACATATTGCGAGCGTGCAATCCGAGTTTCCTATTTAATAGGTTATTTATAGCTCAACACACAGCCTACTCGCTGACTTACGGTTGATTCTATTGTTTGACACACAGCCTACTCGCTGACTTACGGTCAATTTCCTTTATTTATATATATGACACACAGCCTACTCGCTGACTTACGGTCAAAAATTAATAAAAATATAACTCTTATCTTTTCTGGATAAGAGGGTCCCTAGGTTCTATATATGTAATTATATCCCAAAGGCGTCCCCTTGAGATGTCTCTTGATAGTTAAGATACTGGTTAACTGCTATGGGCAGCAAAGGTTTCCCCTTGGTGGTTTATT